CATAGTAGAATACATAAGTAATTTAATATATAATTTTTTGTGGGGTGCATTCAACAATATATATGGTGCTAATAGAAAAAGTTTATGGACAACCATGCTCTATTACTATGCCCAATCTAGAGCTTATTTATTAGGTCGTGATAGTTTATTCAAAGTTATTTTTAATATAAATTTTAAATAAATTTCTTTTTATTGGTACTCCAGAAATTTAGTTGCTAACTCTAAATTTCTATATTTTAAAAAGAAAAATACTCTTACTAGGAATTACCTTTTTTATGATATTTAGTTGAATTCTCCAACTTTTATGAACAAAATACAATATGAATCTAAAAGAATTGTAAAAGGTAAGTTGTAGATTGTTATAATAGCTCTTTTCTTATCTTAAAAATGAAGACAACTAGTGGCAAGTTACAGTTATCTATCATTTTTGGGATGTAGAAGCTATGAGAAATTTCACCTTGTCTGTGGCCACAGTTAAGCAAACTCACTAACTCGGAGCATCGCAACCTCCTACCTTTATTTTATTTTATTGGAAAATCGCAGTTTGAGCTCTTAGTATTGGGCCACTTATTGTAATTAGATTATTATAATAGTTGAGGTTTTTCATTTTAACTCATTGCATTTAGCATTTAAAATGTCATCTTCCCATCAACAGATTAATATAAAAAAACGCTCGTATAATCTTTCTTAGAAGATGAGCTAGCGGTTTGTCATCTACTACAATAATTATGAAAAATTCGTATTTCTTCCTCAATTATTACTTTATATTATCCACAATTTAAATTGCGATTGGATCATTTGGGAGGGACACGAATCCCTTTTGAATCCAAAAAATTTGAGCATGAGGATGAAATGATCCGGAATGTTAAAATTTGATTTAACGGCTATAAATAGGAAGCCCTTCTAAAAATTATAATAATTATAGCTGTTGAATCAAATTTTAACGGTCCGGATCGTTTGATCCATAGACTCAGATTTTTTAGGTCGGAAAGGGACTCGGTTCCATTTGGGAAAAAAATGTCCGACCATAACTTAATACATGACACGTAATATATTTTATTATCTCATGCGGATAAGCGGCACACCTGACTCCATCAATTTATTTAAAAAAAAAAAAAAAAAAACTCTGGTATTTTCGTTTCCTTGTCTTCCAATCCTTCCCAGTTTCCGAAACGTTTCGCAAAACCATGGCAAAAACAAGCTGCGCAATTAGCTCTGATTCTGCTTGAAAAATGGAGGCCCGAAGGCTCGCCATTATCTGCTCCCACATCCGACCCGGTTCGGTTCTTGGTCCGACCCAATTAGCTCTCGTTTCCAGGTCCAATTGCGATTCCGGTTTGAACAGTAAGCAGTGGCTCAGTGGTTCCGACGAGGGCAATAGCGAAAACGGCTGCGTTTTCTGTAAAATTATTCGCGGAGAGTCACCGGCTTTCAAGGTTTCTATGGTTCTAATTAAACTGCATTTTATTTAATTAATTATGGGTTTTTCATGTTTTAATTATTTGTGAAATTTTATACCTTGCAGCTCTACGAAGATGATGTTTGCTTGTGCATATTGGATACGAGTCCGCTGAGTCGTGGGTAAGGTATCATTTATCCAATATTTAATTTTTCAATCATTATTTTTCTCAATTTTCTTGCTTTTCTTTTTTTTTTGTACTGGAATTTATGGTAAATTTGTCTCACTTCATTCAATTTTTTTAGTAGCACTATATTCTAAACTGCTCTAATGGAGAGGTGAATTCGAACTTGAGTGTATGGTGGCGGGCTTATTGGTTTAATGGATGCTTCTAATTTTTAACAGTAGAAATGCAAGTGTTTTGTGTCAATTTTGCCAACGTTCCTTTTGTATAAGAAAGAAAGAACGCAATTGCATCGTCTTTTAACAATGTTTTAGTTTCCATTCCACTTGCTAAATTTCCGTACTTTTGCTCGCGCAGGCACTCTCTGATTATCCCCAAATCTCATTTTTCTTCGTTGAAAGCCACACCCCCGGATGTAAGTATGTCTTACAGATGCAGTTGGTTTGTGAATTGTTGCTAGATATCAAGACACAAGAGTATTGCTTACTTTCATATGTTATATGCATTGGACGAAATGATGGGATGAATTAATCTGAACATTAATCATTGGTTGGACTGTAATTTTCTCTACGTATCTCCGACCGGTTGTTTGGATATATTGTAATTTTTTTTCTGCAAATCCTGTACATGCGCTTCTCTATTTGTTGTGTAGTGTTCGAATGTTTCATGAGTCCGAATGAACTTGCTCTGCAGGTGGTAGCTGCAATGTGTTCAAAAGTGCCCTTTATCAGCAGCGCAATCATGAAAGCCACTGATTCTGGTATGTCTTCAAAGTCATTTTCTGGCATCGCCGTTTTGTAATTTCTTTTGGTTCTCAGGTTAAGTACTTGATTAGCAATTAGGATGTGCTGAAGTGGTCCTTACACTTCAAAGATATTTTCTTTGACATCCTTGTTCACAATTGTATATTCGGTCATACCTACCTAACATTTGCTGTTATAAATACTTAACACAGTACGCTCTAATTATGCAGATTCGTTCAACTTGTTAGTTAACAACGGTAGAGCTGCAGGCCAAGTTATATTTCATGTGAGTCATTATAATTTCCGTTTTGAATTTCCTTCTGGCTAAGCTTATAGCAGCATTTACATTATAAATGATGCATCCTCTGCCAGCATTTATTTGTGTTATTGTTAATGGATGATAGTATTGTACCTTTCTATCCAGTTATTTTGTTATTTAACACGAGCAATGTGCTAAGCTTTTGCTAATCTTGCCGTGTAACACGGTAATTTCAGACTCATATTCACATAATACCGCGCAAGGCCCTTGATTGCCTTTGGGCTTCTGAGGTATGTATCATTCACAATTTTGCCTCTTTATATGTAAAAACTGTAGAGTTTTGAGGATATAAGCTTGATATTTATATATATGAACTCCATAGAGTTTGCGGAGGCGGCCCCTGAACTCAGACCAGGAAGCATCTCGACTTGCAGATCATGTTCGAGAGCAATTGTCAATATCAGACAACTCCAAAATCAGCAAGGGTGAAGGATCTAGTCTTACCGAAAACTAGGTGCACATTTCATCCGATCACAATGTAATTTTCAGTGTACAATTATGTGCAATATACATACTTTAATTCTTTGAAATGTTGTATGACTTGCAAATATTACTTGTTCCATGTCATATAGAAGGCTGAGCTCACCAGTTTACTTAGTGTTTCTTTTTCCCTTCAAAATCTGGACATGAAAATAACAATGAATATAATATGATTTCCTTTTTCTTTTTCCTCAAGTCCGTGAACAATGGTTTATTCAGAACGAAAGAAGCACCAAACCTAAAAACCAGGACACAAAAGCGTAATCTCAATATCTGTCCCGCACCAAGGCTGTTCTAACTTCGAAAAGTTTCCATTGATATGTTTTTTTTCCACCTAATTTTTTAGGTGAGTCAGGCTTCTTGTATAACAGCACACCCTTGGACTCCAGAAGTCCGAGGGTGAATTTGTAGGACACAAGATTCAAGGAATCATTTCTTAGATCCTGGAAGTACCGAAATGTACCTCCAAATATGCAGCAGTGTAACTGTTGTAAGTCTTGGACATATAATTGTAGCGAGAAAAGTGTATGTTGGGATGAGGAGTCCAAAAGAGTTCCTCTTTCTTGAAATCGAAGGAGATGATACGATTAGGGTTTCTTCCAACCTCATCATCTTCATTTACAAGCCAATGCATGTTTCCGCATGCAGATGTTTTATTGACACTTAACTCGCAAGGAGGAACCGAGTCTATCTCTCGCCACGCGCTAGTGCCCGATACATAAAACGAACGATCTTGTAGGTGTTGGACATTATCAAATCACATACACAACTTGCGATAGTACCTCCAGGGACCTCTAAAACTTCTCCACCAAGAGGATCGACGAGCCAGAAGCCTGGACAACCGGATACACTACTCTCGTTGAAGAAAAACAAGTTGCAAAACAAAACGTACACCACAAAAGTTACTGTTACAAAAATTTGTGACACGAAGAGCATGCTTGGTTTCTCTCAAGTAGTTATGTTTGCGGGTGTTATTCGATGATCGCAGCTGCAACGGCATGATTTGTAATCCATGCTATATGGGGATTTAGCAACAAGCATGATTTGATGTACTTCAAGCTCAGCAGCATCACCGGAGTCGATCGGCAGCAGAATTGAGTAAACGCTTGATGTACTTCAAGCTTAACAAATTGATGTGACAGGCAGTCTCATAAGGATTTCGATCAAAACTATGACATTCATAAAACTAGAGCAATATGATCTCCTTGCTTCTATACCTAGGTTCGAATCCCTTATGTCCAACTTGAGATTTCCTTGAACTAAGCAGAGAGAAAATAAATCAGTTTCACGTTGACCAATGAAATGAATCTGACATCAATTTCTATTTTTTGAGTAAAAAAATGTTAGGGGAATCAAAATTTTAGACCATCTTTTGTAAACCACATAATGTGTCAGTTGATAATTGGGCTACTTTTTTTCTAGTGATTTAAAGTAATAGTCCAACTATCAACTATCGCATTATGTAGTTTATAAAGGATGATCTAAAATTGAGAAATGCAAAGGAGACTATCTCCTCTATGACATCTCACAATTTAACATCAATTTTCGTGCTAATATTATAAAACATTATACTAAAAACACGAGTGTCAAAATATTTATAGAGAGTTCCACGTTTAAAAACTCCTAGCATTTCTCTCTACAATTTGCATCACCCTGTTTGGGATCAATCCCATTGACCAACTTTTATTATCCAATGATACTGTCATGAAAGAGTCAGGGCATTGGCCAGTCAAAACCAACCCTAATTTAGTTTTATTATGGCACTTTCAAAAATATAAAATTCAGCAATGAAAAATTAATAAATAAATAATCAAAATAAATAAAAAGAACAATCTTCCAATTATATTTGTACTTCCAAGGGAAGGCAAACAAAAATCCGATTTAAAAGAAGTCACAACGAGTCTTTGCCTTCTCAGACCCCCCTATGCGAAACGTCTTCCCTTTGAGCCTTAGCCTCTCTTCGTCTTCGTCTCCCTCCATTTCGCGCTTTCGCCCAGAAACCTCTTGAACTCTCCTCCTTCCCCTCCATCTCCTCTATCCGCCGCCAAACCGTAGATTCGCCGCGCCCGCATTCGCTGAAAACACCATAGGAAACAATCAATTTGGGAAGAGGAAGCGGAGGACGGATATGGCGCCGAGTCTCGCATTGTCGACGGCAGAGAAACTCAGGAAGGACGGCAACACTTACTTCAAGAAAGATCGATTCGCGGCCGCCATCGATGCCTATACTGAGGTATTATTTTGTTTCTGCGATTCGCTCCTCTCGTGTACTTTGCGTGTGTGGAAAATTGTAAAGGTTTGATCTTTGTGATTGATGATTTCGTGGTGGTATTTTTTGGTATTTGGGTTTTGAAGGCAATCACTCTGTGCCCTAATGTTCCTGTTTATTGGACGAATCGCGCTCTCTGCCATCGGAAGCGTAAGTATGTATGACCACCCCTCTCTCTCTCTCTCTCTCTCTCTCTCTCTCTCTCTCTCTCTCTCTCTCTCTTCAGTTTTCGTTTTCCTTATTTGTTTCTTGGATTTCATTAATGGGTTTTGAGTAATGCAGTGATTGGACAAAAGTCGAAGAGGATTCTCGGAAAGCTATTCAGCTTGATCACAATTCAGTTAAGGTAAAATCTGGTGTTTTGATTTTGTTTTGCTCCTTTTTCTATAAATGTGTTTCTAGGATGTCATCTGTGACCTGAAAATAGAGATGTGAGATCTTCGAGGAGTGAAATTTTGGTATATTGATATATTCTTTTGTGTATCGACTTGAGTACTTGTGGTGGTGCTGCAGAGAGTTGTATTCATTGTTAAATTCTGATAAATTGATTGTCTGCATTTTAACGCATGGAGGTCGGGTCATAAATCGTTGGCCTACATTACACGCACGGAGACTTTGTATGTTTGTTTCCTTTTCTAACAAACCATCATTTTATGAGTTAGATGCTATTTATACAATTTGAGCGCATTCAAGTGGCAAAAGACGTTTAATAACAGTTTTGGATCCAGATGCATAATTGGAATTTTCACCAAGATGATAGCTTGAAAGCATGGGTTCCCTCCTTCTATATGCCTTGTGCTCCTGACTTTTTCGGTTGCGATTATGCCTTTAGAATCATTGCTTCCTTGTCGTCTATTCAGTGCAGTACATATCTAATCAAGCTTTGGACACACGAAAATAATTTTGTTGCATATGTTGTGTGTATTCCTGCACAATATTCTCTGAGTCTTGCACATTAACCTATTATCTTCTGCTTTAATGTGCCATTTTCCTTTTTACTATTGAATCATCATTGTGCCGTTTAGGTCATTGAAAATTTCCTGCGTGACAGGGTAACTATATGCTGGGGCTTGCTTTACTGCAGAAGCAAGAGTATGCTGAGGGAGTTAAGGCACTCGAGAGGGTAAGAAGTGCTTTTGGTCTAGCATACTCTTATCATGAGCATTGAGAAAATTTCTCTTACTGTGTGTTTTTCAGTTTATGATTATGATAGAAGAAGAAAATGGAGGTCCATCTAACTCACAATATTTAACTTGAAAGTACATATATCTAGTGAAATTATGAAAAAAGTTGCATAACGCACTCAAAAAAATTAAATACAACTGAGGATGCTTTAGAATGATTACGGTTTTCTTGATCTTATTGTGAAAGTTGCATAATCTAATATTCACAGAAAGAGGGTTATGAGAGGATGTATTATAGTTGCATCACAATGATGCAACTGATATTCACCACTATGTTTCTTGGAAGTTATTTCTTCTTGTTTTGAATGCCTTGCTCGACATGCTTGTATATGATCTTTGGGAAAATTGAAAACAGGGGGGAAGTCAGGTGTCTTACAGAAGCATAATCAGTCAAATGGCACTAGTGCAGTAAAATCTTGTTCCTGATTTTATCATAATACTTGATATCTTCATTTTTTCACAGACATTTCATACTACTTTTAAAACCTTTACTTTGGAAATAGTTGCTTACGATGTGGATAAAATATTTGAATTCTACTGAAATTTTGTTTGAACATCCTGTACAGGCTTTGGATCTTGGGAGGGGTGCTAATCCGAAAGGTTATATGGTAGAGGAAATCTGGCAGGAGCTTTCAAAAGCAAAGTACATGGAGTGGGAGGATACATCGAGCAAACGATCATGGGAATTGCAAAACTTGAAGTATGTGTTCCCTGTAGGATCAGGCCTATGATGTCTGAAAATGTTTTCAATATTGCATAAGTGTTGGTGTTCGTTTTAAAGGTAGCTGGTTCATAAAACTTGTTTCATGTCTCAGAGCAGACTGCGAGACTGCTCTTAAAGAGAAACATGACGCTCTTCAAGTTGAAGGGTTTTTGGATGAAGCTGCTACTACCCATATGAAACAGTTAGAGGCGTTAGGAAGAGTGTTTGAGAAGGCTGCAGAAGCTGACACGCCAAGTGAGGTCAGTACATGGTTTTCTTGTCTTCCATTCTCAGTTATTTTTGTTGTGACTGTAAAAAAATTTCAGGTGCCGGATTACCTGTGTTGCAAAATCACGCTTGATATATTTCGTGATCCTGTGATTACTCCAAGTGGGGTTACATATGAGAGATCAGTGATCCATCACCATCTTGAGAAGGTATAATTTCTTCATATTGCATCTGCTAATACAAATGCCTTCTCTACGCTAATGTATATATTCACAGTGATCTCTGGCCTTTTGTTTGCACTATATACCAGGTTGGCAGGTTCGATCCAATCACACGAGAGCTGCTTGATCAATCAGAGCTAATACCAAACTTTGCCATAAAAGAAGCAGTTCAAGCATATTTACAACAGCATGGTTGGGCCTACGGAACATAGTGAAGGTTGAAGTTATTGGAAACTTAGAGAGTCGATAGTTGTTCTAAAACATACAATGTACCAAATGCGGCAGAGTGCAGTGTCCTCTTGTGTTTTTGATGTATGGTGTGACCTAGAATCATACTGAAGGTCTATCCTTTTTGAAATTGTACGTAGATTACAATATAAACCAGTTCTCCACTTGCTGCTGGTGTAGATTCATGTTTACTTAAAATTGTCGTCGTTTGTGAATTCGGTTTATCTCTCGGACCTCAAAACGGGTTTTTCTACTACGCATCAATGTATACGTTCAAATCACAAGTTACATTTGAATCTTTTAGATTGAACTAATACACTGATGCATTGGGATCACCTAGAAGTTACTTTAGTCATTAAATTTTTAATTTACTCAATTTAATCACTATATAATACCGAAAATTTGACAAAAACAAATTTTTTCACGCATTTATTAGTATTAGGAGCAAAAACAAATTTTACATCATGATTCTATACATAAATTAATTAAATTGATAAAGTAGTGCCATTTTGTTTGCTATGCCTTTTGGGCTTTGTGCTGTATTTACTCTTTTCCGCTGGGTCTGTATTTCGGTTGTGAGATGCCTTTTGGACTATCTTTTCCTTGTATTAGTCTCTTTGTTTAATGGAAAAGTATTGCAGTTTGTCCAAAAAAAAAAAAAGTTCGAACCGCCTTGCTGTAAATTAGAGTATCATTTTCTAAAATAAAAATAAAATTAAAATTACATCTCGAGGAAAATATTTCAATTTTCCTAGGGTTTTCGCTCCCACCCTCCCATATATAAACAGAACAAACTCGGCCCTCACAGTAAGCCCGAGAAAAAGAAAGAACTCTCACGGCCTCGTTCGCTCTCGCTCACAAAACCTCCCGGCGGGACTCTAGGGTTTTCAGAGACCTCATCACTCTTGGTCGACTGCAACCATGGCGACCACCACCGCCGCGGCCCCGCGCCAGCTCTCTCAGAAAGAGGCTGACATCCAGATGATGTTGGCCGCCGAAGTCCATCTGGGCACCAAAAACTGCGATTTCCAGATGGAAAGATACGTCTTCAAGCGCCGCAATGACGGTACACTCTCATCTCCTCCCATTTTTTCAGATATAGTCCTGTTTTTTCGGTTTTATTTATACTTTTGCAATGCATATTTATCAAAATAAATATTAGATTTCTGGTTTTGTTTGTATTTGGAATGATGGGCAATATAATTTGTTTTGTCAGATCTGTTGTTTGGATAGTTTAGAGGATTATTTGTTTCTGAAGGTTCATTTTTGTTTCTGTAATTTTCTTTCAATTTGATATGCATTTGTGCCGATTTTGAACTGATTTATTTGGTTCAGTTTACTTGGTTCTACAAAATTAGATGGTTTAATACCAATTGATTGTGTTTCGGGACTGTTTGTACAAGAAACTCAAATTTGGCATGCGTGTGATCAGCGGTTGTGGAGCACAAGAGTGTGCTACTCTGTGTTATTGTTCTCCCTATTGTTTCGTTAGCTGTTGATTTGTTTCAGGAACTAAGCTGTCGTTTATTGAATTGGCATTTTAGTGCTTAATTACTGCTTTGGTTATTCTTAGGGATTTACATTATCAATCTTGGGAAAACTTGGGACAAGCTTCAGATGGCTGCCAGGGTGATTGTTGCGATTGAGAATCCTAAGGATATCATTGTACAATCAGCAAGGCCCTATGGACAGAGGGCTGTCCTGAAATTTGCTCAGCACACTGGTGCTAATGCTATTGCTGGAAGGCACACGCCTGGTACTTTCACAAATCAGCTCCAGACGTCGTTCAATGAGCCCCGTCTCCTCATTCTGACTGACCCACGAACTGATGCTCAGGTGATGGTCATCTTTTATTTTTAATGTCTTTGTATGTTCATTTTTAGACTGCTAGTTGATGTCCAGGGTTTGTGTAAGTGCTATTATGTAACTCTCTTATTTCCCAATTTTGTTCTGCTTGTTTTTCTTTTTGTGTTCTAATAATCGTTATGTGCCTGCAGCCAATTAAGGAGGCTGCTTTGGGAAACATACCCACCATTGCTTTCTGTGATACTGATTCCCCTATGCGTTATGTTGATATTGGCATCCCTGCGAATAACAAGGGGAAGCACAGCATCGGATGTCTTTTCTGGCTCCTAGCAAGGATGGTTTTGCAGATGCGTGGTTCCCTCCGTCCAGGGCTTAAGTGGGATGTCATGGTAAACACGGAACATTTCTATTGATTTTGAAATTTATGCCTTGGCTTTTGTGCGTTATTTGTAAGTTACTCGAGGGATCTGTTGAGACATATTCTCTAAAGTTCTAATCATTGCCAAAATTTCTGTTTGCAGGTTGATCTCTTCTTCTATAGAGACCCTGAGGAGGCCAAGGAAAAGGAAGATGAAGATCTTCCTCAAATCCCAGATTATGGAACTGCAGATTATGCTGCACCTGGTATCATCGGGGCTGATCAATGGCCTACCCAAGTTTCTGATGCTCCATGGCCAACAGATACCCCTACAACTATCCCGGCAGTTCCTGTTGTTGGCTGGACCGCAGAACCAGGTTTCACTTGTTAACCATTTAACCGTTGTAAATTGTGTTAGAATCATCACATTTTTGTTGTATTACCTTGTTCGATTCTGCAGGCTGTGAGAAACATTTGAGCTTAATCACATTTTATGTTATCAAGTATGCATCTGTTTTTGGTCAGTTGTACCTTTTCTGACACATGTTTGTTTCTTCCCTATCTTGTTTATGTTTGAGTGCAGGCGCAGTAGGAGGAGAGTGGGATTCGATTCCTCCAGCACAAATTCCTGCTGCCGCGGTTGAAGGTGTTGTTCCTCCTCCTAGTCGCTGGGAGTGAGGAATTTTTGAAGGGGTGCTCTTCACAATGTCGTTGAATCCGTAGTCAGCTAGATTTTCTTTTCTCGTTTGGGATTTTCTAAAAGGATTATGATAATGCCATTTTGAAAAAATGGATTGTTTTTGAAGCCGTTGAGTTTAGATTTGAAAAAATGGATTGTTTCTGGAGGGCTAGACAATGTTACCATTGAATTATTTCTTTTAATTAATTTATCGTAAATCTGTACCAAAAGAATTACATCTTGAACATTCATCTTTTGACTAAACGTGGTTGGGGTTGCGGAAAATTTTGTCCGTGGCCCTGCGGGCTGTCTATTTCTATCCTACCCTTGGACTAAATGTGCATAATCTCCTACAACCTGATTTCATTAGGGCTAATGTGGGGCTAATGTGGGCATATGTTTTGCCATTTGTAGGGCTAATGTGGGCATATGACTCTTGGCTGTAGATGGCCTAAGACCGTCCCCGATGGGGTTTTATCTTTCATGAAATTGATATATTTAAAGTCTTAGTGAGAAATTTTATCTCTAATGGGTTGGAAAGTAGGGTTAGGTCTATCAGGCCATCTTCAACCGAGGGTTATAGGGCTTGTTTTAGCCCTGTCACAAAAAACCGTCTTCAACCGAGGGCCATAGGGCCAAATATAATTTATTATTTAAATTGAAAAACTACAACTTAAATTTAAAAACAACAATTTAAATTTAAAAACTACAATTTATATTTAAAAATGACAAATTAAAAAAAAAAAAAAGAATTTTTTTGTGAGGAATGATGAATGAATAATTTAGGTATTTATAGGAAAAAAAATAGAATTTTTGAGAATTAAAAAAGAACAAAAAACAAAAAAGGCCCCAAAAACCTTAAAAAAATAATTTTTTTTTTTTGAAACCAACGGTAACTGGTGCCAGCTAGCCGTTGGATTCAAAATTTTGAATAACAAATCCTGTTGGTTAAATATAATAAATGTATTCATGTCGGTTATAACCGACATGATTATGTGGTTTCTGGCCAGCCCTCCAGCCATCTCTGATCCCGTGGGGCCCTCCCAAATTCCAGAGCCCTCTGGCCTAGCCCTCAGTTGGAGACAGTTTTCGGGCTATTTTCAGCCATCTGGCCCTCTGGACCCTTCGGTTGGAGATGGCCTCACTTATATTAGCAACTTTCTTCCTTGCATAGCAAAAAATTAGGTTATATCTAGCTTCAAAAGGCAGTAGGCCCACGAGAAAAGTAGCTACCTATGTGAGTCAAATTCTGGCAAGTATTTTTGCTCATCATCATAACTACAGTGTATGTTCACCATATACATAATCATTTGCCACGGGTCCTTTCATCTAATTATAGTTAACTTCCACATTAAATGTTATTTTTTCAATTTTGTAAAAATAAACTATAGTTAGATGAAAGGACACGCGGCAGATGATTAGATGTATAGTAAACATACACTATAGTTTATGGTTGTGAGCAAAAATGCTCCCCAAATTCTGCCACTCTCCCCCTACTTGCGAATACACTTAAACCCAAGGTTCTCCATTCTATTTGTATGTTTAATGCTTAAGACATAAAATGATATTAGATGTTCTACTAAAAGGGCTTACTTATATTAATTTCCAAATAAAAAACACTCTACATTTTAAAATGACATAGAAAGTTTAGAGACCTAAACCAAAAACATAAATAAATTGCAAGGGCATTACAATTTAGTTATGAGACAAAATCTTATCTTATCTAATTTCATAGAAACAAACCAATGGATAAGATTGAGATAAGAGAATCCAATCCAATGGTTCATAAGTGATAAAATCTAACTTTGTCAAAATTTGGATTTTTTTTTTTAGGTTGAACTGTTTATATATATATATATTATATTTTTTTTTGAGATAACACGTCCAAAAATCAACTTAAGAAAAGTTAACAAAAAATAAAAGTTATCCTGTAATCAAATTACTACATATATATATCCCCATAAAGAGCCCGAAAGTAAATAGCCCCTCATTGGGAGATATTTTTTTTAATAGAGCTCCAAAGGTTCCTCGGAGCTTCAAAATGGATTATATCCACCATTTTTTCAATCCCATATAGAGCCCCTCATTAAAAATGCTAATGGATGTGTAATTTGAATACGATGATGGTATGCTTGACGCTGACGCTTCTGTTCTTGAATAATGAGAAGGTTAGGACATGTTTATTTACATGAAATCGAATTGAATCCATTCACATGTCCCATTACTTGCTTGAAAGACAAAATAGATTTAGGCAGCTTGATCGGATCATATGCCTTGCTTCTTCTGGCAGTCACCATACCACATTAATAATTTGGAACCCTTCTATATGAAAATTTGTGATTGTTCCCAAACCTAACACTCAGATCTATGCGACCAACAAAAATCACGTTGTTCTCCTCCTGATCACACAATGGAATAGCAGTCAAACTACCTAATTTGGTATTGTATATGATATAAACCATCAAATCTAGTTATTGTTGCCTGCCTCCAGACACAAGGTCGAAGAGTTCCAAACATTTCTGCATGCGCCTCCCTATAAGAGCAACGTACAAGTTCCGGCTAGGATAATCGTTTGCAAACTACGATACTTCAAGTCATGCCTTTGGCTATATGATTGAAATTCAAATGACTATAAAGTTTTGAGAAGCGTGACAAGTACTGATGGGTCAGGACAAACCCAAAGTCTTAGTGCTTATGTTATTCCTCCTGATCCTGCTCCTACTTTGTTCAATGCTGCTTTGCATTGGTCTCAAGTATATTGTACAAATCGCAACAAATGCGTGCGTTCTGTCATTTGATGTGTTCAATGAAATAATATTTGGTGAGGTCCTAATGTCTCTCTTCTCATTGATTGGAACCGTTGAACATTGAGAGTATTTTTATTATTTTATCATGTGTAATGCTTTTCATGGATTTTTATCTTGAAAGTCTTGTGTTTCTTGACCAACCCAATGTTCTAGATATAAGAATTTTATTGAGAATTGTGATTGAAAAAAAAAATATAATATTGACTAAAATGATCATTAAAATGAATATGTCATCGACATTTATTAATTTAATCTGTTTAACAATTCAGTTTTGATTTATGATCATTTTATGTAAGAGATACTTACGAAGAATGAATTGAACTCCAAATCTAAATTACTCTTAACTAACTGAGTTACAAATCCTTTCATAATTAGAAAACTTTTTATATGAAAACTGACACGTTTCAATCAAGCAGTCCCCATCTCTTCTGGTGCCTTTTTAATTGGTCGTCCTGTTTTGTGTTTTAACTTTGTCCCATGCATTGTACAGTACATGATGTCAATGTTTTTCCCTTTTAGATATCCTCTAATTTCGCCACCACGACTTATTCCTTCATTTCCATCCCATATTTTGGTAAGGTTGGCATGAATAGACCAAACCTCAATTATTCACAAACATACAAGACACTTTCTTTATCCTTAATTGCTTATAATTTGGTATGAGTGTGCAATAACGCCTTATCAAACGATGTAGTTACTGGTGTAGAAGATGCAATCGGTCACGTCCATAGTTATCGAATATGCATTGGAGAAGTTCAACAGACTGACTCGGATTTGATATAAGTTCAACCATTTCAATTGGTAAAGGTAATATGCTCGTTCTTTAGCACTCACGCTCAAATTCTACTATCACAAATTAGAATAATTTACGATATAGTTATGATATGTTAGTAAGTAATTTGATGCTTCTCTCCTTGAGTAATTAGAAGTATAAAGGGACAAAGAATAAGAGTCCCCATGACTTTGACTAGGAAAGAGTAAGTGCAAAGGAAGAATCGAAAGCGGAAGAATCTCACAATAATGAACGATAGAGGGAGGCCAAGAGTATGAAAATGTTGTAGCACAAGATAATGCGTGTACGTACAATTATGTTCATCAAAATCAAAAGTAAATTAGTATTTTGACGCAGAATTTTAAAAATACGCATTCCTACATTTAGGCCGATTATATATATGTTATGTATGCACAAATTTTTCTTTTTACATTTTTTTGAGTTATTTGTACGAGTGTTAAAATGTGATTTGCAAGAACGAAAAAATGACTATTTCCAGAAAGAGTTTTCTTTTGCTCCATTAGCCTTTGATACTATATAACTGGTGTGCTATCTCGTCCAATGAATACGTTCACAAAAGAGGAGGAATCTTCAATGGACCACAACCCTAGTTGTAAATTGCCACCGCACTCCCCCATTCAATACATTCAATACGTTCACATTCTTCTCGTTTTTGCATTTCAGTTCGTTTTTGTATTTCTCAATGTGACAAAAACACGGCTCGGTACACCAATTGTTATAATATAAGTGGTTGGATACTTGAAAACACTCATATTATAACACTTGGTGTATTGAGCTGTATTATTGCCACATTGAAAAATCTCTCCAAAACAAGACTGTTTGCAGCCATTCAATCGTTATTTGGAACCATCCTTATTGGTATTTGCTTTTGGCCTTATTTCAAGGTCAGAAGTGAGTAAAGGAGCTCATTGGATTGTAGTGAAACAATCCAGCTTCAATAATGTTGATTGTTGGGTTGGTAAATCATCAAACGTTCATGGTTTTTGTGATTTTTGTGTGTGGTTGAGGAAAGAAGGGTAGAAGTTGCCACTTCTTTGCAGTGTGGCATTATTACATTACACGTAATCGGGAATATATATCTCTCACTTATCGCGTGATGAGTTGGATAGAGAGCTGGTGCAGAACCAGATCAAGAGATGAGGATATATCCGTAATTACACCCAAGTTCTCTCTTGTGCAGGCCACTTCTGTCCTTCATTGTGTGTAGTACAAAGTTATCTAAGTAACATTTTTTGAGAACCATCTGCTAGAACCATTCAACGAAACAAAAGAAAGAATTTTCGTGTACTAGATATATAAAGCTTGATTTTTTTTATTTCTTCTTCATGGCTAGCTCTTCAACTTGAAATCTCTGGAAGATAAAACGCGAACATACAAAACGGGGATTGAGAATGAACACATGATGCTCGGTGTTGCTTAAGTAGTACGCTATACTAACAACCCGAGCTCTGGAAATAGGTGAAGAATTTACAAATATGGTGAAAGAGGAGGATTCACCATCATGCAGTATGTGTGAGATTTACAGCTCTGTTCAGTCGATCAAGAATGCCACTAGCTTTCCTCTTAGCCCTTGAAGTTCCATTCTGTGCAAGCTCGGTTATTGTTCCATAAGCGTTTTCTTCTTCCCTAATTTCCCTCCACTTGGTTCGATCATTCAAACAGATTGTGTGAAGGATTGCAATGCAATTCTCCTTGTTGCGTCCACAATTGGTCTCCCTGATAACACGGAGCAAGCAAGAAACGCCTCCAAGCTCTCCCATTTCCTCCACAGCCTTTGGATGGCTTGAGAGCATTGCAAGGATGGCCAACAACTCATCAACATGCACACGGTTAGCTATCTTCTTCAGAATCGTCTTCACTGCCCCTTCTCTCACAGCTCTTGCCTTGTTCTCATGAGTGATGCACAGATTGAAAATCGCAGAGGCAACATCTTTCATAACTAATGGATGACCCTCATCTAGGAGAGCGATGAGTGGCTTTAGGGCACCTGATTTCCCAATAAGTGCCTTGTTGGAATCAAGAGCTGACAAAGTGAAAAGGGCTGCAGCTGCATTGCTCCTTGTTTGAATGGTCCCCGATCGCAATGCTTCCATAAGTAAAGGAATTACCATTGGAGTTTCTGCCACAAGTTTCTTGTTGTTGTCATGGATTGACAGATTCAAGAGCGTGGTGATCACATCTTCTTGAAGTTCCGGATGAATACCATCTTCAAACTTGCCTTCAGATAGAGGACTGAGCAACTGAGGAATGGCATGTGTAGACTCGCTAAAAAGTGCCCGGAAAGAAGGCATCCTCTTCGTCAACATCCGAAGCTCCTTTGCAGCTTCTTTCTGCTCAGGAAATGTCGAAGACATCTTCTTGAGCAAAGAAAGAAAATGGTCGCGATCTGATTCTGTTATGCCATCCTCATTGACTAGGAGGACGGGATCCGACAATTCAATCCCTCGATCCTTACACCATTGCGATATCATTTCACGAACCAAGTGATTCGGTGTAAGGATTGTGTGTGTGAGCACTTGTTGCGTTCGGGGGCATATCCTGTTGCCGGCTTTTAGTCCTTTTTGGATGAATGGCCTATCATACGTCTGCCAATACAAAGAGTGAAAAATTCGACCTAATTAAGAACCCATCGAGCAACTTAAATCACGAATTACACAAAAAGTATACAAATGATATTATAAAAGTCAGCGGAAAATTAGCAGAACAGCATTCTTAGCAGAATTAATTCAAAAAATTAGCAGAATATTGTCAACATTTATTAACAAAACTCTACCCAATCAAGCAATTACTGCTTTAAATTCAAGTCGCAGAATCAGTAAAAAGACACACAGAACTTTAAATCCACCACTGTAACTCCAGAGGCCAACCACCGGAAAATTAAAATTACCACAAACAGTAAGAAGAACAGTAACCAAAGGAAGAAGACAATAAATCACCTTCCTTCTACGTGCCACACAAAATAAATCCTCAGAGCTCCGTATTTGGTTGCTGAGAAAGTGAAAAGGAAAAACAAAATAAAAAATTCTTATCTTTTCCTTGCCGACATTTTCTCAGCCCCAAAAGCTAGAGGACGAAGCAAAAATTGCAGAAACTCAAACCACACGCAAAAAGCTTCAAAATTGGAATAAAAAACAAGAAGAAGAGCGCAAATTAACAGAACCCAATTCTCAAAAATCGAAACCAACCTCGCCTGTGGAAACAATCACAGGGTCTCTCATCAGCTCTTTCGAAAGCGGGCACCGGAACTCTTCCGGGCAAGAGAGGACATCTTTGAGCTTGAGAGAGAGCGATCTTTTCTTGAGCTTCAATTCTTTCAGAGCAGAGAGGGTGTCTCTGGCCTGATCGATTGTCTGGGTGGTGAAATCCTCGTCGTCGACAATTGCTTTCACCAGCCTCTGCAGCTCCTTCTTCAACTCCGCCGCCTTCGCCACCGCCGTCGGATCAGAGTCAAACACGCCCGTCTTTGCCATTACGGGGGTTTTTGGTGGGTTTCTGATTCCGGGGATGGGAAATGATCAGATGGAACTTTCGTTTCTGACAATGGAGAAGCAAAGGTGGAGGAGGATTGCAGTGGATGTCATTGTTGTCTGTGTTCTTCTGCTTTCTTCTGTTCTCACTGAAAGTAGCTGGGATGACTGAGAATGAAACTGGAAAAAATTGAAGGAAACCACAAATAGTCAAATGCCAAAACCAGACGCAACACAAACGCATCCCACATTCCCACTCTCTCTCTCTCTCTCTCTCTCTCTCTCTCTCTCTCTCTCTCTCTCTCTCTAAAAGTTATGAACTCGGTGGAGCTTCTGTTTCTTATAAATAATCTAATCCGAAATCTTAATCTGAAAGTTTCAACTTGTTACGGTTTCGTCACTCTGTTATTTTATCCATTTTTTAACTGTGATTAAGATGTTGTTGCCTTCGTCAACACGTTTAAAAGCTGAAAACAACTACCATTAGGAAATTAAGCTTGACCACCTTCTAAAACGCAAATTCCACAAACCATATTCTCAAATTTTATCAAACTAATCATTTCGTATTACAGTATAATATTAAAAAAAATTATTTTTATTTGTGACTGATAAGTCTTGGATTCATCTTAGTGTTACGATTGAGTAATGCTTGGTAAACTAATTTTTAGACCAAATTTGTAAATTTTGTGATGTGTTTCTAAGAAAAAATAAGATGTTAATCAACACATTATTTAATCATAAACAATTACGTCATATATTTTAAATAGATTGACACACCCCGACCCAGAGGATCAAGGCGTGCTGGCCGTCACGTGAGCGTGACGTAGCCAAAAGTGCGACACGGAAGCAAGATACAACAGAAATATGAAGGAATTTAAACCAATCACTAGCAGAACAACCTACTAGCATGAAAAGGGAGTTATAAAGTAAAACACACAAATTCAGAGCATAGGTTTAAGTGCAGTCAAGTAGGACCAAAATAAAAATACAACACCCGCAGGTGAGTCCTACATGCAGTACGTCTGTCAGAATGCCGAAAAAGACCTCGAGAGCCACCAACTGCTAACTAGAACCTGGAGGGGCGCAAAACAAAGGTGAGTGGGTCAGTAAAACCAAAGATTTTCCAAAACATTTCATTTAAAACATTTCTAACCCCTCTCCGTAAAACCCGTATACTTTCCCAGAAAATAGAATATAAACATATAAATATACACATATCATCAACACTCAGCTCATCATCTAACAATATAACATCTCAGAAAGAATATGCCATGCCGTGCCAAAATATAATAAGAATGCATCAATATAAATCAGGTGAAATAATAAATCAACCGGAGACCCTATAGTGGTCCTGTACGGCTGATTCTATAGCTCAATATCCCATCCAGCCGGAGTCACCAACTGTGACCTGTACGGCCCTGCTGGAGTCACCAACTGTGACTTGTACGGCACTACAATGCACATAAGTTGGAACTACGTATAGTAGTCTGTACGACTAAAATGGTGAAATAATACGCTCTAGTGCTTTTCTCATCAATCATCTGCGCGCATAATCTAAGGTCACCCACCAGTCGGAACCCCTCTAATGGTCTGTACGACTGGCATGTCGGAACCACCTCTAGTGGTCTGTACGACATCCACCTACTTGGATCCAAGGCGAGCGTGCGGTGTGGTGAATACTATAAGCACTAATACCAAAGGTGCATTTTATGAGCTTTCAATGCCATTCACATAAATACATCGTCTGAATAATATAAAAACTCACCTGTGCATCCACCGCGTCAATTTACGTATATATGCATCAAATTATCAACCCAAATATCTCAACAATTGCATGCATGGCAATTTAAATCATAAATTTTCAAATAAAACGCATTTTCTGAGAAAAAACAATAGTATATAGGTAATACGAAAACAAAACTGCCCACTCACTGATAAGTCGATGGGTCGTAACCCCCGTGACGTCCATGGATGTGCTCGTCCTCGGGATAGGTGTCACCTATATGCGAAACAACTATAAAAACGTTAATTTAAACACATAACCAACAATTCGAAATAACTTCTCATACGATGCTCAATTTGGGTATATGAATATACCACATCGACCTACTCGACGTCACAGACGTCGAGAAATTTTTAGATAAATTTTTGGAGGGCGCACGTGCCCCCACGCGCCGGGACAGGCACGGGGACACGCGCCCCCACGCGCATCTTCCCTAACCTCGGCTCGCCGGATTGGTTTTTTCGGCGGCCGGTTTCCAGCCAAACTTCAAATGCCTTGTTCTCCTTCGTTTCTCAACCATTTTCTTCGTATTTTATACCAAAATGAAGCCCCAAACATGTAGAATCACGATACACTACTTTTAAGCTCCAAAAACAACTAAATCTCACCGGAAAAATCCAAGCAAAACCGACCAAAATCAAACCTCGTGATCCCGACGTCCAAATCCTTCGAACGAAGCACTCCGAGCTTCCTTGGGACCTCACTAAGCTCACTATAAGCTTAGAATTCCCTGAAACACAACATTTCACGTGTGCATGAACAGTGACAAAAAATGAGGGTTCGGGTTTCACGTGATATCAAAGGTTTCACCCTCTAAAATTAGTACCATTCAACTCAGGACGACGAAAGGATGAAGAATCTTACCTCAATAGCTTCGATCCGTGAAGTTTTGAATGGTTTTGGGTGTGGCCGTACGATATGGGTGTGAGAAAGAGAGAGTGTCGTGAGGGAGGAGAGAGAGAGAGTTACGGGAAAGAGAGAGGGTAAGGGGTTTAGATGGTCCACATTCAATCCTCACCATCCATCATCTAAATCCCTAACCAAAATTAACAAAAACCAAAATTATAATCCAACTCCTCTTAATTATTTTTCTCCAAAACTAATATAAGGTTAAACCAAATAATGTCACACACATACCTTAATACCCGCTAAGGGTAAATCCGTCGTTTTACGTCCCCGACATTAAAAGTTCGGGACGGGCTGTGACATAGATGATCTTAAGCATTACTATTATGATATATTGATATTAATCTTCACCTGTAACTGATAAGTCTTATGTTTAAATCTCATAAATAACAAGTTCAAAACTAATTTACCCCAGGGGTTCAAATGACTTTTATTTGTTGTTTTGGTGGTAGATTTTGGAAGACTTATAAATGAATAAGTGGCATTTATTCTTCCACAGCTCTCTCAATGACCAAGCGATAAATATAAAGTATCTGAATTTTAATTTGGGTGCTGGACTTACTTTAATGAATTCAGGAAAAAGAGCTTGAATTAATGAATTGTTTTGAAAATCAACTCATTTTCGGGATCAAAACTTTTGCACCCAATCTGGCAGTAACTTCTCTGTAGCTTCAATTTTGAGACCACACCCATTTTAGGTGCACAAGATTTGATCTCCTAGTTTTTGGTCCAAAGCTATTTGCCAATAGGCTTAGGGCTGGTTTGGTATTGCTGTGCTTTGAAAAAAAGCTGCTGTGAGAATAAGCGGCTGTGAAATAAAGCCAGTAGAGTGTTTGGTAAACTTTTTTGTGAAAATGCTTTTGGAAAAAAAATCAGGATGATAGTGTGTCTTTTCATTAAAGGAGCACTGTAGCTCCGTGTGCTTTGAAAAAACTGGCTTTTTTTCAAAGCAGCAAATAGCAGCTTCAGCTTTTCCTTTGATTTTCAGCTTATTCTCACAGCAGCTTCCAAAATAAGCCATTTTTTTTTCAGTTTACCAAACATAAAAATGACCCTTAGCTTTTTTTCACAGTGGTTTTTTTTTAAAATCACCTCAATCACAAACGGGGCCTTAGTTGGAGGAAGCGATCATGTTCTATTTATATATATTTGTAGTGAATTTGATATTAAATAAGTAAATATACTTATTTTCTTGTGAAAGAGGCACAAATTAGGTGTGTGATCGAGTTGTAAAATATTTCTCAAATATCTTGACGTTCGTTACCATTTGTTTTAAAAGGATTTTAATATTTTCTTTGAGCATGGTTATAATCCAACTCCATTAAAATACAAGAAATCCAAAATTACACTCTAGTCTATATTTCTATAAAAGTCCATTGCTTCTTCTCTTGTTAATCTTTCAACGTACTGCTTTTGAAAAGTGATCACTTGAAAATTTGAGATTAAAAGTAATTTCAGTGTTTCTTACAATTTTCCTTGATTGCTAATGAATATTTATCTTTTAATATTTGTAATTTCAACGCTCCATTTTCTTTCCTCCTTTGTTTTCCTCAGCCAACCATACAAGAAGCTAGGGGCTCATTTGGATATACTTTTAAAATTACTGAAAGTGTTTTTAGAGAAAATATTTTTTTTTGTTTCAAAAACACTTAAAGTGCTTCATGGAAGAAGCACATAACTTGTGCTTCTTCCATGAAGCACTTTAAGTGATTTTTTAGAATTTACTTATATTTTTACTAACAATTTGTTCCAAAAGCATTTTCACCAAAAGCGCTTTCAGTCATTTCAAAAGCATATTCAAATGAGAATTGTCACATCCCAGTCTCGGCTTTGCCGTAGCACGATATTGTCCACTTTGGTCTTCGGCCACACCCTCACGGTTTTATTTCTAGTAACTCAGACGAGAACTTCCCAGTGGATCACCCATCCTAGGATTACTCTCGCCCGAAATTGCTTAACTTCGGAGTTCTGATGGAATCCGAAGCCAATGAGTTCCCAAAAAGTCTCGTCCTATAGGAGGTGGACATGTACATATAAGGCACATAACCCCCTCTCCGTTGATCGATGTGAGATATTACAATCTACTCCCCTTAGCGGTCCGACGTCCTTGTTGGCACACTCGCACCGAACAACAAAGTGGCTCTGATACCATTCTATCACATCCCAGTCTCGAGTCCGCCGTAGCACGATATTGTCCGCCTTGGGACCTGGCCATGCCCTTATGGTTTTGTTTCTAGGAACTTAGACGAGAACTTCCCAATGGGCCACCTATCCTAGGATTGCTCTCACCCGAACTCGCTTAATTTCGGAGTTCCGATGGAATCCAAAGCCAATGAGTTTCCAAAAGGCCTGGTTGATGTGGGATATTACAAGAATATCCATGCACCCTCGAAAAATCAATTCAAAAGAAGTGCATGCAGTGTTTCATCATAAATAAATAAAAATATACACATCAATTGTATAATACAATGTTGGTAGTCTTTTAACATCAACTTTGGTCAAGCTTTGATTGGAGACATTAAAATTCAAGAATAGTCTCGTACAACGCTATAAACCTTTACATAATTATAAACTAGCCGATTAGCACACACTTTGTGTGTGTGTGAACAATTTCATTTTATT